TTGTAATTGACATTGCACATCGAGACTGGGCACAGGAAGGTTGAAATTTTGCACGGTCTTGCAAATTTTGCCTAGGTCTTTTGAAATTTTGCACGGTATTTAAAATGCTTTCTAAAGGTTTTGAGCTAGTGTGCGCTCTCCCTAGCACACCCACTCTCAACTTTTACTGTATGTGACCACCTTGTTTGGGGAACCAAGACGGGTTTCATGCAAAACCCACCAAACCCTAGAAACAAACAAGAAAGCTTAAGATGGAGGCTGGCTGGCTTGGTCTCAAGCAGCGTGCTTTGGTTTATGAGCTTTTGATTTCGCCATGCCCCCTCCCTAAGAAAATAGGCGCTGGAACATACTGCAAAAAACAGCATTGTAAAGCGCAATGGTCTTGACAGAGTTTCAGCTGCAATTGTACTTTGGTTCTGCAGGAATAGCTGAAGACCCAGGTTTGCGAAATGTATTATCGTAAGATATCGTAAGAAAAACACTCCTAAAAGGACGCGTAAAAATACATCATAAAAATCCAGATAAGCAAGAGACTAAAGCAGTAGTCTCATTGACATACATGGTCATCTTGAAATATATATATAGATAGTATTGTACCTATATTCGCTCATGATGCTACATGCATTGCGCGCAGAGAAAGATTAACCTACTTGTCATCGGTGTTACACATTGATAGTGGGCAAACGAAGAGCAATTGTTGTAATTGACATTGCACATCGAGACTGGGTACAGGAAGGTTGAAATTTTGCACGGTCTTACAAATTTTGCCTAGGTCTTTTGAAATTTTGCACGGTATTTAAAATGCTTTCTAAAGGTTTTGAGCTAGTGTGTGCTCTCCCTAGCACACCCACTCTCAACTTTTACTGTATGTGACCACCTTGTTTGGGGAACCAAGACGGGTTTCACGCAAAACCCACCAAACCCTAGAAACAAACAAGAAAGCTTAAGATGGAGGCTGGCTGGCTTGGTCTCAAGCAGCGTGCTTGGTTTATGAGCTTTTGATTTCGCCGTGCCCCCCTCCCTCAGAAAATAGGCGCTGGAACATACTGCAAAAAACAGCATTGTAAAGCGCAATGGTCTTGACAGAGTTTCAGCTGCAATTGTACTTTGGTTCTGCAGGAATAGCTGAAGACCCAGGTTTGCGAAATGTATAATATCGTAAGATATCGTAAGAAAAACACTCCTATTGCGCCCCCACTCAAAACTATCGCACAGAGTTACACCAGACCATATATAGATAAATCATGATAAATCCAAGGCTTACTTTTGGAGTAAGGTCTTCTCAGGTGCCCGGGTGCCCGCAGAACCGGTCTGTGCCCGGTGCCCAGGCGCCCGCGTGCCCGTTCGTGAGAGGACCGGTCTCGAGTTAGGTAGCTGGAGAGCTGCCCTTGAGATTGATTTAAGACTTGGGCCTCTACCATCTACCCAATCAACTACGGAGTCTTTTTGGCACTCCGCGACCATGTGGTAGACTCTGTTCCTCGTCAATGCACGCTAGACCCTCCACAACGCTGCAGAAGATGCTTAAATCTCTTATGCGAGCAGTGAAGAGCCTATATCGCGTGTGAACAGTGAAGAGCCTATATCGCGTGTGAACTCCTCAACTGTCAGGGTCAGAATCATACTCACCGTCATCGTCATCAGCACCGTCGCCTTCAATATCATTCAATGCATTATCATCGCTACTGTACCGTCGTCGCGACCCTCAACTTCATCATTAGTATAGTCATCGCAATCAACATCATCATTGGCGACACGCATTAGCGTGCTCATCAACATCGCGTGTCCGCTGACCATGGATTGCGACTGTGCCAGTGAAACTTTCTCATCATCAAGATCATCGTCGTGAATGATGATGATGATGATGATGATGATGATCGTGGCAACTCGATAATAAACATCTTAGGGTTTGCGCCATCTACTTTGAAGACACAACAAGTGGACCTTGTTCACAGTAGAAAACTGATTCGGCAAACCTGCCAGAATAATTTGAAGTTGAAAACCTGCCCCAACGCGGCGAGATTCTCCAGCGCATAGTGTTCTCACCAGGAACTGCGACTGCAACTGCTGGGAAGTTTGGAGTGTGAGTTTCTTAACTGTCAGGGTCAGAATCATACTCAGCATCATCGTCATCAGCACCGTCGCCTTCAATATACTATCATCAACTTCATCATCATCATCATCGTCGTCGTCGTCGTCGTCGCAACCTCATATGCGCGTGTACGCTCATGGAGGTGAGTGTGTGTGCCCAGGTGCCTGGCGTCTCGTGAGAGGACCGGTCTCTGCTTTTGGTGACGCGGACATGTGGGGCTTGGACGACGGTGGCGTTCGTTCGGCGCGCTTTGTTTCCTCAAAGTTTCCGCAGGTTTAGATCGTGCCTCAGCGAGACTTTCGTAGCACTAGCGTAGGCTTTGTGGCTTCGAGTTAGAGATTGGCTGCCCCTTCACGTGTCGCAACAGCGACGGCTTCTCTTGGTGTGCTTGGAAGGGCGTTCTTGCCCACAAGTTATTTCAACCGTTACAAGGCCCTCTTAAGGCCAACGGCTTGTATTCCAAAGGGCCACGCTACCTTTGTTTTTCGATGGAGTATAGCTGGGTTTATCTATGTTTATCTTAAGTTATTCCGTTATGCGTTCATGTTGTCTCCTGCGCTCTGAGGAGGCATCCCAAAAAGCCGGGTCTGAAGTCTCGAGAGGACCTGCTAGTTGCCCCTAAACCCGCCGCGCACTAGTTTGCCCAATTTGTTTCGATTTGCAAATGCAGTGTCTGGTCAAACTATCAATCGGTGAATCGCTTCCCACCTGATTACTGCATCATCCATGAAGGGTTTGCCTTCCAAAACCTGATGATAGCGTACAAAGCTTCCAGTGCTCAAGAAACCAAATGATTTCGTCTCACTAGCACTTGTGCGCGCGGCTTCCAAGCTCCCAGCGCAGTAGATGATGTCCACATCATGCTTGAGCCTTGCAGGCAAACATATTGGAAGCGAACCCTTTCGGCTGTTTGGGCATGATGCCACTACATAAGAGAACTGCTACAGGAACCGGGCCCATGTCGATGAACTCGTGCTTCAGCTTGTTCCAAGCTGGCATAATTGCAGTGCCGAGACGGGTCGGTGACTTGACTAGCTGCCTAGCTGACACGGAGTAGGTGTGGGATTTGCAACTGTGCGTGAAACGTGTCCATGTTAAACCTCTTTGCGCAAAGCTGAAGATGCAAAATAGATGGGCGTGCATCGCTGGAGTCCACAAAAGCTCGGCGAAAACAACAGTTCGAGCCTCAAGAGGCTTCACGACACTCTCAAGACATCTCAAAATACGCAAAAGCATCAAGCAGCCCAGGAAAACCAAGCCCCTGAAGGCAGGACCGGAAAAGCATTTTGCAATTTGGAATCGTGTGGCCGCTGCTCGAAAACAACTTTAAGTAGTAGCTCTGACGCCCTCGATGGAAGTCCTCGGTAGTCCTCGGAAGATATCTCTGAACTTGACCATCACTGCTTCACCCCCCGAATAAGCTTAGATTCAGCATGGTTTGCTGCTTCAGAATGGAACTCGCCAGCAAAGCGAATCAATGCCCTATAACTCCCGTAGCCTGGAGGCAGTGCTCTTGATGGTGGGGCCGGGAGAGTTTTTGCTTTGCTTTGCCTACTGATTCCTTTCGTATGCTGCTAGTCGAAAAGGGCCCTGCAGAAGAAGCAGTGGATTGAGGTGGCCACCAGCCAGAGCGCTCATTCAGGAACATGTCACCCCAATCGAAAAAAGTCACGCTGATCAATTCCAAAACCATCCAACCCTCATGGGCACGCTCCTTTATGCAAGCAACTCTTCGGAGTCATCAAGACAACAAGTCTCTTGAGCACTGAGCACGCCCATACAAAAACCACATTTGGGTATTCTTGTTCTGTTATTCTGATGCATGAACACCATGGCGCGCCCTCTTTCACCATCGATGGTTTGAGAATAGCTTCAACCCACAAAAACAATGGCGCACCCTCTATCAACATTCTAACCCCAGTGCTGTCGCGACGGATGGAAGTATTTAAAGTCTTGTGATGTTTTGTGTTGCTGTGGAATCATTTTATGCATGGGCCCATGGAAGCATTCAAATTTAAATCGTTACAGGATGCAGGGGAGTCAACAAGGGGAGAAACACAAGCACTATAGTATGGTTCGTTCTGCGCGAACCGCGCGCGAGGCTCTGGGACCTCCGCGCGACCTTTTTCGCGAGGTCCACTTGACCACTCCCCTTTCGGAACCCTGGTCCTGCTTGAAACTTCAGAAGCTCAGGTACAAAAGCAACACAAGCCTCTTTCTCTGTAGTGGAGAAAATTGCGTTTAATAGCCAAAGGGTACAATGTGGGAACAGGTATCTCAGAGAAAGTGTCGGTGAGCGCTGTGTGTCCATCATGTCCCCAAGCAGCATCTAAAACACCAAGGGCACGCTATCACAAGGAGTACTTGTAAAGTCATAGTAGAATATCTATGTAATATATAACATCTAGAATCTAAAAACATGCAGTCCCGCAAGGGCACACTGCAACAGGACGACTTTTTGCGAGACAAGACGACTTAGCCCAAGTACCCAGTACAGAAGGGCACCCTCCAGGAGCGAGATGTGCAAACGGGAGACTGGATGCAGGCTTGCAACCAGGTGACATGCTGCTACGCAGCATGCTACTGGTGAAAATCAAATGACGTATGGCGTTGACGACGACTGTGACCAGCTTGATGTAATCCCCTTCATCCATGCGTCTGGTAAGGGACGCTTCGTTGATGTTGCTACAAAAAGGTGGGAGCTGTGGGCTAAGGACCACCTGCAAGAACCGAGCAGCTGGACCAACAGGAACTGTTGAAGAAGATGTCTTGCGCGTGAAATCAAAAAGGATGCAACGATGGTCTTTGTAGCCAATGCAAATACCAAGCATATTGTAACATGACCAATGAGCAATGTCTGGCCGATGAAAGTACGCTTCTTGCGTACAGCAAAAGGCAAACCATGGCAAACCACTCTTCAATGCGAAACAATGTCTACAATCACCGTGCGAATGAATGCGCAGAAAGAATTCTCTGTCACTTCCAAGCAACTTGCTACAATAGCAGGGGCCCAGGCAGCCGTTAAAGAAATACCTTGACCACAAGCTTTCATCCTCAGCGTGGAGCTCAGTACGAACTTCACGCGAAATTGTTTTCAAAACCGAGGGTGCTACGCAACAATTGCTACCTCCACCTCTTCATCCTCTTGGAACTTGTCGATCAATCCCTAATGAAAAAGTCAAGTTGAAGCAATTCAAATCAAAGCGCCCGTGAAGTGGACCACTCACACAGTTTGCCTGACGCAAAGGTTTGGCAACCCTCCCATCGAGGCGGATGTACCTGCACAGGTTCACCCAAGGATGACGCTGAATCATGTACGCAGCATGCCACATGCCATTGAGACTTTGGGACTCTTAGGTCTCTTAAACGGCTCTTCATGTTCCAAGGTATCTTGCATTACGGTTGTGCAAAGGGATGTGCTGTCGAACCTCGTCAACTTGTCACCATTGGGGTGGCAGTTTAGCAGTCTACTCCCGTCATAGAGGGGACACCAAATGGAGTCCTGGATTTGGAAAAGCTCAGAAGACTTAAGAAGCCCCTGGCGCACTTCTTTTGCAATCTTTTTAACATCTTTTCCATCTGATCAAAAAGCACGTAGTGATGACCTTGACTGGAGCAACAAAAATGCTGTGAATGAACCGGTGAACGGTACTGTGAAGTCTGCATCCAAGTGCTCAGGTGCTCTTGTTTCAGTAGAGTAGGCAGGAACATGTGCAGAAATGCATCAGCAAGAGGACTACCAGCCTCGGCTCTGCAAAATGTCTGTCTGTCTCTGTCTCTCCGTCTGTCTCTCTGTCTGTCTGTCTACCTGTCTGCCTGTCTGCCTGGCTGGCTGGCTGTCTGCCTGTCTGTCTGCATTGGATGGAAGGGATGGGAAGGGATGGGAATGGAAGGGAAGGGAAGGGATGGATGGGGTACGTTAAAGAGTACGAAGAGGCCGATGCGGCCTATTGGATCCTATTTAGCATGTTTAAGTTTCTGGTTGATCAACGTGCTTCAAAACATGCATGAAAAATCAGCTTTGCCTTCAGTGCCCCAACTGTTCTGCTCCAACTCCTAAGGGCTCTGACCAAATACCACCAGCTTTGCATCTGTCTCCTTCATCAGCAGTCTTTCAACCTAAGAGACAAATCCCCAATGGCCCTAGTGAGTGCACAATGCATTGCAAGCTCAGGTGCCCCACTGAAACTATGCTGGTCTCAAATGACAGCTCGGAGATCTGTGGTTCCATTATTCTACCCGAAAAGGGTTCCCCAACTCACTTGTGGGACCCTTTCTTTGGATCATCTGGATGCCTGTAGGTTGTCGCTGGCATCAACCGAGCTCAACCTCAAAGCCTCTACACACAAAAGGCTGCACACCTCGGAGATCTGCTTTACCCGACGATTGTTTTGAGAGGCTGATGGCAACCCAAAACGATGAATGAATTGACCACCAAACTGACTCCAGCCCACCCCAGCTCCCCTAGCTGTGAGCTTTGGCGAAATCTGTTGCCGGTGCTGCCTTGGCCTGGACTGCTCGTTCGCTGAACGTGGACAGGCTGTGTCAGTGCCGGCTGATGTGTGATCTCGTGTTCTTGCATGAGTTTCCTGATGTCTTGGACAACATCGCTCAACACCAAGCCTTAGCAGTCTGCGAAAATATCTTGGCAACTTGGTGATGGAAGACTGCTTTGCGCTTGAGAATGCCCTTGGCTGATTCCAGAAGCTGGTTGTTCAGCATCTGTGCTTGAACATGACATACAAGTCATACAAAGACAAGTGAGCGACCAGCTAAACTAAACAATCCTGAATGTCAAGCTTTCGAGTAGGTATCGTTCTTGGGATCTAGTTTTGCTTTATCCAAGAAACATTGCACTTTGCCCAATGACAATGCATGAATCGGCAAGCTGCAACCGCATAGGTGACCGAAAGCTACTGGGAACACCGCCATGATATTCTTCACGTACTTGGTGTCGATCTTGTCACCTTGGCGCCCAAGCACAATTATCTGTTAGACAAGTGATTGCATTCGAGGCAAGAAGGCCCCACTATCTTTGCTTGTAAACATGTCAGAAAGATCCAGCGCTCTAGAAGCTCAGATTGGAATAAGGAATAATTATACAATTACAAATTTTGTGGAGCTGAACATTGGAGTATATGATGGAGCTGTACCATACCCGTGATCACTGCGGTTTTGAGACCGGGCAATAGCAGCAGCATTATAAAAGGGAACAGTGACAGCTTTCACTGAGTGTGCAGGCGCAGGTTCTCCTTGCGCTTTCTGATCTTGGCCTTTGCGATGACGATGACGATTGGATAAACGAAGCAAGCAAACAGGCACGACCAACAATTGAGAACGGTGACGAAACTTTTGTAATCGTCACACAATATGGGGCTGTGCACTTGGTTTGAGCTTGATTTTTTTTCGATAATGTCAACATAACTCTCAACACAAACCCTTGCAGTGATTCTCTACCATAGTCTTTGGCACTTGACTTGGGCATCCAGCTAGATCTGGGAGCACTTCCTTGGCCGTATTCGCATTCAGTCATGACGAGCAATTGGCATCAAGAGAAATCTCTGTACACCATTGCCACTGATTGGTCTTCTCACTGTTTCAGTCAACATACAGCGGTCAGCACAATGGCGACACTCCGACTGTCTGACTGTCCTCCTTCTTCTTTCGAACCATATAGCTGGCAAAAATGCCATGCAGCTCTTCGATATTTCTGGCAGGTGCATGGAACAGCTTCCACCCGCATGTCTTGAACATGCAAACATCTGCAAAGGGCAGGAAAAGGACGGGGGCATGAAACTTGATGGCACACTCTGCCACTTCTGCAAGGACAAAGTCTGTCGTGTGAAGCTTGCGTGGTTGCACCAGCATGGCCATTGGAAGCCGTAAAGGCAGCTCAATTAAGCATAACATAGCATCACTATCATAACTGCCGTTGTGCCAGTTGTGACTCCAGCATAACTGCCGTTGCGGGGTGCGAGGAGCTCCACCTTGCTCCAATCAGCTTTTTCGTGACGCTGCCGTCTTGCTCCTGGAGACAACAACAATGAGCCTTAGGCTAGTCCGCTCCGGCGTCTTGGAACTTTGAGAAGTTGATGCGACTTGTGATCCCTAATGATATCTAATGATGATCTGCTGACGCGGTGTGTTACAAGTTTGCCCAATACGGAAGCCGTGAAACGCAAAAATTCAACAACTCAAATCTCAGCGGATGCTGAGCAACCTTCACCCCTCTCTTCAGCTGCAGCAAGGTGGCATCTAAATGTCTGTCTTTGGCCCACGTTGCTTTTGCCCATTCAGCCAGTCCTGAACATAATTGAAGTCCGAGTAGCGCCGACCTGCATCTAAAAATGATCCAGGATGATCCTGGGATTCACGAATATTCATGTTGCCCTGCTAGGCAAACATGGAAACTTGGAATCGATTGAGTTCTGCTTTTTCAGAAAGGGATGCGGGGAATCATTCCAACAGCTGCTTGAGACCAGGGACATTTGGTCATAACTTGGATTGCACTTTTCGTAACCCCAATCTGCCCCACTACCCAAATCTTGACGTCTGCCCATTGCCGCCACCGACTACCTCCTACTCTCCTACTAAGTCACATCACATAGTCCGAATCCCAATAGCACACCGAGGGGAATCGCAAGCTAGTACAACAGCAAAGGCGAATTGCAAAGCTAGCCCATACTCTTGAAGTTGAGAAATAAACAAGGAGCTATGATGTCTAGTGGAATATTACAATGTGGGGCCTGGTGACGTGTGTTGGATAGTCAACGTGGCACAACCAACAGGCAACTCTGATCAAGACGAACGTGACACGTTGAGCAATGAGGCTCCTGGCAGAACTGATCAAACGGCGGGATGTTTACGTCAAGCCTAAGACTGGACGTCAAGCCTGAAGATTGGTGAGGCTTGAGTTTGCAGCAATATGATCAATTTACATCAATTTACAATACAAGGTCGAAGTTCCAAACTGCTGACCAAATTGACACTGCCATTTGCCTGGCAAATCTGGTGCAGAAGAGTGCACATTGTACATATGTATATATATATATAGTAATTCTCGAGAGTCTGACCCAATTCTTTTGGTTCAATTGCCTTTTTAGGATGTTCAGCCCGAGCTACGCTGCCATCGGCGTCCAAATCTCATAGGCAGCATTGAGCCTCTCTGAATGCACTATGGACTTTTTTTGCATACAACGGCAAAGCAAAAAAGGGAAATGGAGAACAATTCTTACCAACTACCACACCCCATACGGTTCAGGGCAGCATTACAAATTACAAGTTGGGGGAGGTTGAAATCAAGAGGAATGAGACCCTGGATAACACATGCGACCAAAAGGTGAGAAACCATGTTGAACCGCTGTCGTCTGAGCTGTGCACACAGGCGTGCCAGTGAGAAGTATGCAGCCTCAATTTCAGAGCCAAAGCAGATTGCATACGTGAGGCTGTATTCTGGTTCTCTTGACCCAACACGAAAACTTACGAACCCTTTAATTTTCCCAGTTCTCCGCAAATTCTCCTCTCTCTTGATGTCGAGCGACGATTTGCTGCCCGGCAAACTGGCAGCAGTGCCTCAAAAGCTACGAAACACAAGTTTCAAAGGACATCGTGATCGAATCGTCTTGGTACCGCGCCTGGGAGCGCTGGCTGTGAGGGTCTTTCATTTTGTGTGCCTCATCCAAAATGACAACCTGGCCATTGCAACTGAAATTCACTAAATCTGGACACGTCCTTGAGTTCTTCAAACACCTCAAGGTAGAAGCCGTATGAGCTTGCAAGTTGGCTAATTTCGAACCTCAACCCTATTCCATATTATTTCCGACTATGATTCATCCTTCAATGCTCATTAAAACTTGCTGCGACGGTCTTAATGTGCCTTATATGGGGCACCATCAGATTGTCGTGCAAGCGCAGGTTTAAGGCGGATCTGATCCTCAGCCCAAGCCACGTGAGCACAAGGCAGCATCTTTCTGGGAAAAAAATGAGATTGAAGCATCGAATTGACTGAAATAATAATTCTATTGACTTAGAATGTTCATGCTCTCTCGTCTCTGAGTGTCCGAGCGTACGAGGCAACAAAAATCAGTTTTCGTTCCCATTTCTCCATCAAATACTTCTCTTTCAAGAAGCGGCTATCCAGTATCTGGCAAGAATAACAGTACGTCCGATGACAGTCAACTTCCAGTTGTTCTTGAGGTCTGTCTGTCACAGTTGTCTTGTGAGAGGATTGTTTTTGTTCTTCCGCGGAGATGCTCTGCGAAAGAAAACAAACACGACAAGTACTTGCTGGGCAATACTTGTGCTGATAGTTTGTTGCTCAAAGGAAAGAGCAAGGGGCAGTGTGGTGAAGCACAAATTTTCACAAATTCGACATTTTGAAAGCCTCAGCGGCTCCGGCCTCAACCTCTGAAGCAATGTGCGGCAGCCACTTCGTCACCTGTGAGGTATCAAGACACCAAGACATGTAAAGTGTAGGAGTCCAGGATTTGATGACTATATAATTTGATTTGGATAATTTGTTTTTGCTTTTTGACTGGATTTTTGTGATCCAAAATCAATCTTGGATGAGTTACGCCGTCGTCCTTCCGTGAAAACCACGTCATGCAAACATATGCAATCAACATATGGGTCATCCACCCAAACACAACAAACATCATCAAACATCCACCACACCATGCTAAACCTTCAGCGGCCTGACAACTTATAGAGTGTATTGCTCACACCGTGTATTTGGCGGATTTCATGCTTCCCGCTGTGATACCTCCTTGACCCAGTTGTCCAGCACGGAGGTTGGTGCCACAATAAGAAGTGGCCATTCCTGTCGATGAAAGAGATTAGGTTTTTGGATTCGGGAACAAAATAAAGCATCACGACAACTCCTCTGCATAGATCTGCGCCAAGACCAGGGACGTGAATGTCTTGCCCAAACCCATCCTCATGACGAGCACTTCAAGGTCAATAGAATTCCAAACGACTCACGTACGCCCTTGTGCAGTCATCAAGCAACATCATGCTGCTTGCTGCTTGCCCTTTAGAGATACAAAATTACTGTGCACATCAGGCCTTGTTGACACCCAAAGCGAAAAACAAGGGTCTGGAGAAACAACGTATAACTGCATCCTGACGTCGCTGCAAGCATACCACTACCCCCCACCACCCCCCGCCCCCAACTAGAAGAGGCGCAGCACATGTATTGCGTGGACACACCTAGGGGAACGTAGGGCCCTACAAGTTACAAACAGACATGTCTTCGTGTCGGAGAATCAGTGCACAAAAATATCTAATTATATACACATCTCAACTTCCTGAGATGAAACTGTGCTAGCCATTGTGGCCCTCTTAGTCTATGCCTGTTCAATCCTTTCGCGGAAAAACCGTAGTGTCGGTTTATTTGCTTGAGATCACGAATCACGAATGCATAAGTCTGCGTTGTTGTTGATGCCGGGATGTCGACATCTTGTCTGCTCAAGGGCTACCAATTCCAGCCTCTTCGCTGCTGATAAGACGAAACCCACCAGGAAGACTGCCAAGACGACGCCGATGAAGATGATGGCCATTGTCCTTGGCTCCAGCTGTGGTTCTGACTCCAGTTGTCATCGCCATGATGTCGGTCCCACTGCTGATCTTCATATTCACGATTCCAGTCTTTGCTCCACTGCCTCTCACAATCATGAGCTTTCCGATGTTTGTGAGACGCGATGCTGCGAGCCCTAAAGTTTCGACGGCAGGCGAGTTGGAGCTTGAGGCAAAGGTCTAAACAGTCCAATCCTTAAGGAATCGTCAGGCTTAGGCTTCAGAATGCCTTCTTTTTGCGCGGGTCTCCTTCGTAACATCCCACGCCTTCCGGGTCCGTAACGTCGGCGGTCCTTGGTGCAAGTGTGTGTAAATCTTGGCCATAATTAAACAGATAGTCAGGATACAGTCTATACATCGGCTGGGTTGCCTTCCATCGCCTTGACATTCTCTCCCACCAATGCGCTACACTCAAAGTTGGTGTGGAAGTCGTAGCTCCGTAGCTTGTTGGACGCCCCCGCGCGATCCGATCAAGGATGGTGAGCACAGCGTGCGTGGACGAATCAGAACGTCGATCCTCCCAGGCTTGCGTGACCCGCGTATTGATATCTACCTGGTCAGCGACAGCTGAGGCCAAAACAAGCAGGAAAACGTTTTTGCCTGCAGTGGCCCGCTTTCCAAGTACCTCGTTCTTCGTGCGCAAGGCGCGGGCTCGCGCTTCTGGTAAACGCACGCCCGGGTCCATGACCGCGAATCGTGCCTGGCCTTGCACCACTCATAAAGCGAGTTCTTCATTTCAACGAGTCTGATACAAGCCCTATTCAGGAGGTAACGTCGGTCCCTTTGAGCAATGCAGGCTATGGCAGGCGCCTTCTCACCAATTGCGTGTCTTTAAAGTGCATAACGCCGCACGTTTCATCACGGAGCTGCTGATTGTCAACCTCTTCAAATGAGCTTGACTCGTCGTAGGAATCATAGTCTGAATCCAAAGCCGTTCCATGACTTGAAGGTGTCAGGAAAATCCAGAGGTGATCAAAGATCATTTCCAAATCCTGTCAAGAATGCCCACTTTGAAGGTCCCCGCAGATGATCCCAAGACAATGATGGACCTAGCTTTTCGGGGGAAAGCGTGGGGATATTCACCCAAGACTTTGGAGTCAGCTTTACTCCTGGCAAGTGGTTGGGTTTCATAAGCCCGGAATGTCGAATTTGAGGCTCTTGATTGCAACGCCCAGAATATCGAGCTTGACGCTGCACATGCTAGGTTCCACTCTTCCTGACTGTGTGCCTCTTCGTTGTCCGTATATGTTACAGACCTGGGATCTGGACCATGACCCTTCGTCTCCTGTATGAAAGCGACAGCGCACGAACAACGAAAGCGAATCACCATGAAGCTCCTTTTGGACATAAAGCTGAGAACCCTTGCGCCTAAAAGGCCCAAGTCATGTCGCGACATGCTCTGTATGCATGCTAGTGCAAAACGACGCGAAGGCGAAAGGGGTGCTTTCACACACCCTTTACTCTCTCATATTTTGAGATGCCCTTCCCGTGCCCTCTCGTAGAAGAAGATTGAGAACCGCCCGCTTCACTGTCGCCCACCAGTCCTCTGCCTTCAGGCGCTTGGTCAGCAGATCAGCTAGTTGGTCTCCTGTCGGAAGCCAATGCTGGGACGTTCTGGAGTAGGCTGCCCAGCGCCATGCTGCTGTTGCCATTGGTGACCTCCTTCAATGAGCAAAGCTTGCCGGATCCCGGCCAAATCGATGGCCAACCGTTTTTCACTGGGAGCTCGTGGAACACCTTCACGGTGGATGTGATCACACAAACTCCTGCAGTCCGTGATCAGGCGCAGCGGGATGTAGTGGCCCGCTTCCTCAGTGGAAATCTCCTTCCCAAACTGGAAGGACAGCAGCAAGCTCCTGAGGTACACTGAGGTCTCGATGGCTTCCGAGCATGCCATCGTCTCTCCAGCGAAAGTGGACCGGCGTACCCGGTGAGATGACCGGCTTTTCCAATCTACAATGCTGAAACGGTCATCTTGGCCTGCCAGGCACCGCTTGTCAGCGATCATCACCAGCAAGCCAAGCTGCGAGGATAGGGTGTGCTTCCCAAACCAGTCTTCATCTCCTGGGGCAGGTGTGTCACCGTCAACGTTTCCCCATGCAGCATCGTGGTACCCGATCATCACAAAGTCATTCTCGGGGATATAGTGGAGCGCCAAGCCTTCTTCTTTATACTTGAGGGCGTCCGCCGCTGCCTTGTTGGTGTCTTTGATGTTAGCGAGTGTAGGGTTTCTTTGACGCTTTTGCGCTTGGCAGACCTGGAATTGAAGATCTGGCCTGGTTGGCTTTGCCAACCATGACAAACAGCCGATGGAAGTTTGGTTTTCTTCACACTGGGCTGGTGTGGCGGGATCCTCATCCGCCATGCCCTGAACCAAGGTGACCTTTTCCACCCGGCTTTGAGTGTAGCTTTGTTGTTTGATCAAGATCTCATCGGGCTTGCATTCGTATTCGCAGCCCAAGTACTCAAAGACCTTGTTCTCCCACTCGTCAAAGGGGAACTTTCGGGAGAGCTCTTGCTGGATCTGGACATCCAATCCAGGCTCTGTGAGCAGCATCAGGTCATCGACGTGCGTCAGGACCAGTCCACGGGTGCCACCGGCCGGGTTCACAATCATGAAGACGCACGGGTCGATGTAGTTTTGTTTAACCTTCAACACCTCTCCCTCATAGTTCAGCTCCAGTTGACACAACTCGGAAGAAAGCTTCATCCACCAGAGCTTCGGAGAAGTGGAAAGCCCGAAGACACCCTTGATGATTTCAATGAGTTGTCCCTTTTCCAAAGTCGGCATACCTCGGCGTGGTTGCCTGAAGTACAGCTGTCTGGGGGCCGGCAGGCCGTTCAGGAAGGCAGCTCGGGCGTCGCCGACTGACGCTGTCCATCGTCTGGCCAGGCTCAATTGCGATGCCAGAAGTAGTGCGTGTCGGGAAGTGGTCGGAGCGTCGGTCACCATGTCTATGGCGCCCAAGTCAGGATCATGTTGCCCTGCCACGCACAGTCGGGCTTCTGCCTTGAGCTTCACTGAGGGATCAACCTTTGGGTCGACGGTCTTCTCCACCTCCAAGCTTTCGTCCACTGACAATGGTCGCACCGCTTCAAAGTCAAGATGTTCTTGCCATTGTTTCAGTTCGGCAGCTTGGTGCTCTTCTCTTTCTTCCGGCGGGATCATATGCCAAGGGAGTTCTTTGTCTAGTTGTTTCTCCCGCCCCTTCTCCGTCAAGACCTTCTTGACATAGAACTGCTGCTGGGCCTGAAAAGGTTGCTGAGCTCTGAAGCGTTTGATGGGAACTGGGACGTCGTCCAATACATGGGCTTTTCTGGCAGCGTCGCGGATGGCGGCAGCCCGTGCTTCCACTCTCCCATGTTCATCGCCAGCCTCATCCGGAGCTTCCATCTCGACATTCTGTCCGCCCTCATAGGAAGGTTGTAGGTGAGGTGGCGCGTCAGCATCAATGTCATCTTCGCTGGCGATCTCATAGAAATCCCCATCGTCTTCTGCCTCCATCAACTGCTTGAGCTCCCGCATGGCCACTCGGATACGCAGCCCTTCACTGACCTCTTCACGCCGAGCTTCTCGTAGGTGTTCTGGAGCGACGAGCAAGCGTCGACCACAACGCGCCACCCAATAGTTATGGCCTTCCCGGCCAATGGTCCAATCCACCGCCTTTTCCCTTTGCCCTCTCGGAACACATAGACGAGTTCACCAGGATCAAAAGGTCGATCTGCGACACAAGGTTTGCGTGCCAGTGCTTTGGCGATGGCGTCTTTGGATTGCGCTCTATAGTAGGCAGCGCGGGCTCCCATTCGGATCACACGCCGTCGTCCGAAGGCCTCGTCAGTGGCGATGTCATAGAAGGCGGCCACATCTTCTTCTTCATTGAACAGGTCGCGCTCTCTCATCTGCGTTCCATACAACCATTGTCGTGGGGAATATCCAGCCTTGGAGCGCAGCCCGTTCTTGGCGTCATTCACCGCAGCGCACGCCTCCTTCACATCATCATCTAGGATGGAGACATCTTCTACCAACTTAAACCAAATTGATATCCAGGAGCTGCCATGTCTCTCGCAAAGACCATTTTGCCAATGCGCTTGGCCCGCTGAACATCGAATCACGGTGCATCTTTGGTCCAACAGCTCCAGGAACTTATCTTTGAAGGCTGAATCCAAGTCGGCCAGCACATGACGTGGAGCGCCAGCCCAACTGGCCCATCCTGCAATGAAGGCTGAACCCACTTCAGCCGAAGAGATACCAGGCAAGAGGAGAACAACCTGGTAAGTGCTGGCCATGTCCACACAGTTGAGGGCTGGAAGCGCCGTGCTCTCGCAAGTATCCAGCCAAATGGGGTTGTGCTACTCGGGCCGGCCGAGGACGGCGATGCTTTTCACAAGTCCTGCAGACCATTTGTTCTGCAGCTCTGATGATACCCTCCGAAGACCCGTTGAGTCGCAAACGTCGAATGAGTTCTCGGGTCGGAGGATGGCCCAAATTTTGATGCGCCTCTTCAAAGTTGCAGATGATAGGTTTCACTTTTCCTTTGAAGGAAATCGCTATTTCTTCTCCAGGAGCAACATGGCCTCGATGAGCCGTGGGGAAGTGTTGACTGACTTCTCTTGATTTCTTCTTCGAGGCATCATACGCCCGCACCACAGCGTTAGCAAAGGCAGTGGGATAGGCTGCTGAGAATGCGGTGTCCTTTCCTTGTATTGCCCGATGTTCATGTTCACCAGGATCACACCTCCTAGTCATCCGGTCGGCAAAGACGTTGTTGTTGGTCAGCAAGGACACGGCTTTCTTCAATGGGCTGCCATCGACGCAACTGGTCAACTGATACTGACACATGTCCAAGTCTGCAAAACAGGCAGCGGGGTAGTTGACCAACTGCTGCGTGAGGTGATGTCGCCACAAATCACTTTCTCGGGGATTCTCCACCACCACAACACCAAAAGTGCTCTCAGCCCAGCTCCCAACCATGACCGAAGCGGCCAACATGACCTGGAAGATGCCCATGACTCCATCTCGCGCACGTCTCAAACTTGAGCGATTGGCCAACCTCTTCTTCGAATGCCATCGCGCGCACGATCCCGTGGCGTTGGAGTCTCATTCCCGGAGCTGGTCTTGTTGTCGCTCAAAGCTTCGCGTTGGTCCCCGCCAACCTCATAGTCATGGATCGCCTCACCGGACACGTTCAGGCCCGTGTCATTCTTTATCTCAAAGCCCTGGTACTGTTCGCCCCCAGTCTCATAGTCACCCCCGAGGTCGGAGGACCCCCGCCCTGACACATAGCCCTCAACCTCGGATCCACCGTGTCTCACGACTTGGACTGACGCTGCTTGAGGGCAGCGATCTGGTTCTCGAGAGCTCGGATCTGTTCGGAGGCGTCTTCCTCTTCTTCCACGATGTCGCTCTCGGTCATCTCGGCGGCTCCCTTCTTGAGTGGAGCGCGCATCAGATGCCAGGACCCGTCCGACGAGGCTGCTGCTGAGTTCGCACTCGGTGGCGGGATGAGAGCCAGGGCTTCTGGATCTCGTCCCAGCTCAGCCTTGGATGTCACCACACCCGCCTCCTTGCAGTGCTGAAGATCTTCTTTCGCCCAAGTCGCCAGACGCACCAAGTCCTCGTGAGAGTTGGGGTTGCCCTTTGTCTCCTGGATGGCCCACTTCAGGTATCCCTCCGGGATCTCCTGATACATGTACCCCTTGAAGCGTCCAAAAGGCACCGCCGTTTGAGCCGGGGCGCTTCGACGATCGCGGATCAGCTTGATCATCAGTCCCCTCGTGGGCTTGGCCGGCAAAGTGATCCCCTCCTTCTCCGCCATCTCGACCAACTTGTGGAGCTTCAAGGATGTGAGGCCCTTCATCTTGTCGTTGGTCGCCGGCGGTTTCTCCAAGTCCCGTTGCTCGATGAGGATCTGGCGAAGTTCCGGCACAGTCCAACTGGAATGCACCACCACACCCCGCTCCTGAAGTTCCGCCAGCAGCTGGGGCTTCTTCATGTTCCATGGCGACGGAGCGGTGGAGGGCATCAAGAGTCGTGCACGACTTCTGAGGGCTCGTCGCGCAGACATCATGTGAGAAAACATCACTGTGTGTCTTGACAACCGTACCTTCAGCTAGACAAGGAAGGTACTCAGTAGTCCTCTGACCTGACAATTGCCTCAACAAAGTTTGCTTCAAAGTTGACAACGAAGTGTTCCAGCGAGACGGATCGAACCAGGTTTTCCGGGGAACGACGTGGATGCGGAAGAACTCGGTCTCGGTCTCGACCCAAAAATCCCTGCTCTGTTTGACAGTTTGCCACCAACAAAGAAAACCATTGCCACCCAACGTGGGAGATGTTTGAAAGCTTCTTGGGGTAAAACAAAGGGGTAGGTGGTGAAGCAGCCTGCACGCTCATGTATACCTCCTCGGCGATCACTCGAAGTTCTCCAACCTGCCGTTGTGGCAGGGAACAGGGAATGTCTTTCGCTCCACAGTCTGACGCCCAAAGCGCTGGGTGCCCGGATGGGCTCTCCCACAACTTCACCTGCTGAAAAGCAAAGGCACCTGGCGTGGAACTATGGCTATTTCTGCTTGGAAAAATTTGTTGTGCATCGCGAACCAGGCACGCACCAGGAAGGTGGAGACGTAGACCTTGGAGGCTCCAAAGCGGAAGTGTTCTTGACGGTCACGTGTCTCAACCTGGTATCCATGCTCGGCCGCCCAATCGGCATACTGCTCGAACCAATCATGGCCTGCCACGGTCTTGGTGCAGGCGGTGTCAACGATGGCCAGCAGTCCATCACACTTGGCGGACGAGGCACGAGCGTCCGCTCCTTCCTTCAGGAAGGTCATGAAACAGGAAATCTCGCCCTTGGTCACCTCCTCGGTCTCCCGGCGATACGATTGCATGGAACAATCATTCCCCAGCCAGGTGCTACCCTTGAAGGTGACAAGGGCGACGTTCTCTTCAATCTCATTGGGCTCATCACTCATATCCACTACTTGATTCTGGACGTCATAGGTGTGCAGGTTGCCGTTCACATACTCCAGCTTGTAGTCCTCGGCCGCCGCACCAGCGCCATCGGGGAAGTCGATGAAATGGGACTGCCAAGGACTCACACACGAAAATCACCTGGCGCATCTGCGCGGATTGCGCGGCTCGGCCCCCATCTTTGTTGGTCCCCATGCGCCGGACGAGGGCTCTGTCCTTTCATAGGGCATTCAGGATCACGACGCCAATGACCTTTTCTCTTGCAAGCCGAGCAATAGCTTCGCTGTTTTGCGAGCTTCAAGCGCTCCTCTCATCTTTTCTTCAACTCATCAAGATCAGCTCCCCGACCACGAAGAGCTTCCCGATATTTAGCCTTGGCCCCTTGGTAGGCCATGTAGGCGGTGTGTTGTTCACAAGCGGTCTCTTCATCCATCAATTCAGGGAGGTCACCTTGATCTCCTTCTACTTCCTCCTCCTCGGTGGACTCCTCGTGGTTGGTCATGTGCACCGACTGTCGTCCATGCCATCGTTTGCCCCAAGCTCCTTTGGAAGGTGTTTCAGACGAGGCGCTTCCAGGTCTCCGCAATGAACGGTCCTGGACCAGGGCAGCTTGCTGTAGGCGTCGGACATCGTAGGTGTTGTTCACACTAGCAAGGAGGGCAAGTTCTTCGGCTTCCGACAGCCGGAGTTTGTCAAGGTACAACCAGCCCTTGGTGGGAGCTCACAGCGAACTTCATGAAGACGAAGCACCAACCTTGCAAACTCCACATTGAAGTCGCGGACACTCTGATCCGCTCGCCTCCGGCACTTGCGGAACAACTCGTTCATGACGCCGGAGATTTTGGTCAGCTCAACCTCCATGAAACGGTTTGAATCCATTCCAAGAAGTAGGAAACGCCGGTGTCCATGGCGAACAGGTCCACGTCCAGCTCCTCAGCGTACACCCAGGCCTTGCCCGTCAGGGCAGTGTAGAGAGCTAAAGCCCTCTGCTTGCGCGGCATCTTCGTGCAACGAAGCCGCACCTGCACCCTTCTCACATACGACCTAGCCGAGCGTCCCAGCTCGGAGTCGTTGACGCCCTCTCCATCGAACTCGGGCACCACGAGCTTCTCAGATGGCTTGGCCTCACTCTTCCAGGCCCGATCAGGCCAATCGGAAGCAAAGTCGTAGCTTCCCGCCCCCTTTCCATTGTTGATTGCCGTCATGCGGTCGACCTTGGCGACGTTGAAGTCCCGCAGCTGAGCATCAGACATCCATCCATCCCGCGAGCCAGCAGCGCTGCCCCAGGGATCACCGTTTAGCCGTCCACGCGAACTCCTCCCAGTTCGCATCGTCCCCTTCCCAGGCCTCAGGTGCTTGCTGAGGTTGCGAAGCAGCAGAGGGCGTCGTCCAGTGGTCACTGCTAGTCACCGGCTCCGTCGATGGACCTTGAGAATCGGCTTCCTCTATGGGGGCAGGACCGGTCGCCTAGGTTGCCAAGATCTTGGAGGTTGAGGTCATCCCAAAAGAACCAAACAGCTCCAGGGCACCAATATGAAAGCGACAGCGCACGAACAACGAAAGCGAATCACCATGAAGCTCCTTTTGGACATAAAGCTGAGAACCCTTGTGCCTAAAAGGCCCAAGTCATGTCGCGACATGCTCTGTATGCATGCTAGTGCAAAACGACGCGAAGGCGAAAGGGGTGCTTTCACATCCTGTCCGTAATGTCAAGCAGATATATACACGCGAAGTGAATCTGCACGAAGCGAAGCAGGAGACACAAGCTCTGCTTGTACTGGACCTGTGACCGAACACACCAGTGTTGCCCGAATCGTCGCGCGTGCGAACAGCAAAGTCAGCACGTTTCTTTTGCTACAATGGCGGGGCGCAGTCCGGTTCTCGGCCTTCCAAAAGTGGAAGTGAATTAGCTCTGCAACAGAACTACGGACAACTAGAACAGGCAACACATGTATTGCGTAGACACGCCTAGCGGAGCCTAGCCCACCCCACCCCACCCAACAACCAAACTAGACGTATGTGACAGGCGCAAGGGCAGCGTATCGGCTGCGAGCGAAAAACAACAACTTGAGTTTGAAACCGACAAATTGGAGTTTGAACCAGTCTCGACAAACACCTTCAAAGCCGCATAGCTGGGCAAGCCAAACTCGTCTGCAATGAGACACCGCCCCCTGGCACAAGCGGCAAAGTGTGACAGTTTTTACAAACCAACTATATAACGACAACGTGCCAAATCATGTCAGATCTGAGTCTCTCTTGCGGTCTTGCGTAGTGAACCACAACTCTTTGACAAAAAACTTAAGAAGTACTAAGAAGTACATCTCACATTGAATAGAAATCGATCCCGCCTGCGCAACAAGCCTTGTAGGACACTGTCTCTTTGCTGATCCCTGCCATCCCGGTTTCTATGAAAAACAAACCGAAGCAGTGTCGTTCACACCTCAAACCCTTCTGCCGCTTCTGCCTCAAAGATCCGAAGATTTCAGGAAAGTCGGCTGTGTAGGAGGCCAACCTCGAGAGTGCTCTCAAAGCGCACAAGGAACCAGGAAAAAGCTGTCTTGCTTTACGATCTCTGGCAGCGCTTTCTTGGCAAAACTTTAAAAACCTCATCAAACATATTAAGCCAGCAATAAGTGGAGTAATACACATCTCAAATCCAGAAGTACCGTTCAACCGAGCGCTGTGCAACTGGCGCTGCGATCCTGCTGTGGCTATCAGTATCCTTGTGCTATCGCGGTCCTTTTGGGGCCACCTTTTTGTCCATCTTGAGTTTATCTCCGTCACAAAGGGTACCAGTGGAACCAAGCATCAAACATCGAAACGTGATGAACTGATGAATCAATGTAAGTTTTTTCTATCATATCTACTACCCCGCTGTGGCTGTGTCAATGGTTTCGCAAATCAAGAAACAAACACACAGCCAGTGAACTCCTTTTAAGTTATATAGATTGTAGAACTGCAACTGAAAGTTTCAACAAGCCTTGGCAGGGTTGCATGAGGTGAGCGCTGGGTAGCTGTGGGGCTGGTTGGAACCTGAAGTGAGAGTGTCCTGGGCCTAGCTTTGTTTGCCTTGTGGATGTTGTTCTTTTTGATTTGAAATGTTTAGGGTTCTTTTTGGTTCATGCTATATAATTGCCAGCAGCTACCCACACTCAACTACTCACACTGGTTGACGGTGGTGAGATCCAAAGGAGCAAGCGCTTTAGCTTCAGCTGTGAGCTCCACATGCAAGCAAAGGAGGTTGTGGTCGTAACGGACAGCCAAAAGCTTTGGGATGCAAAAACACCTTCGATTTTAAAGTGACCTTTCGTGAGCCCTTTCGCAAACTCCACCTAATCTTGAGTTTTCCCAAAGTGTTTCCCTTCTTTTTGCAACTACGCAGTTGCCGTTCAACCCATTAATAAAGGTGAACTCCTTAACAGGTACGCTCCAAGTTGCGCTTGGCTCCTTCTTGCTCTAAGTTTACCCTTGGATGGCGCGCAAAAGGCATGCTCCAAGCTAGAACTGCCTCTCGGGGCCAAAAGGCATGTTCCAAGTTGGACTTCCCCTCTTGTTCTAAAGGCCCTCGCACGGCCCACAGCAGGTGCGCTACAAGTTGTTTTCTCAAGGTTTTGGCGCCTTTCAATTTTGCTGCCCGCCACCCATATGTACTTTTATATATATATATATATGTAAACATAAAACACCTTGTTTCTCAACAAAAACAGCCAAACAAAAATACACATCACGGAACAAGAAGGGAAAAGCGCAGGTGCCACACTTATGGAAATGCGTACGGAACTGATAGCGGTGCCACACGCAGGCCTAGGGTTCCAGTTCCTAAGGGTACAGGGAAGGAAACCTAAAACTCCAAACGAAAACACCGAGCGAGCGGACGACAAGGTGACGACGTGCGTGCAGAAAAGCCAAATTCATCGCCGCTGCAGTAGCCCTTTACTGAAGGAAACAACGAAGTAGACAGCTTGTGCTCTACGTAGGTTTCTCTCCCGGCAGGTACGTCAATCCGGCGTCCCGGATTGATTGATTTCACAGACCAGTGCAAGCGTCCTTGTTAGTGCCAGACTTGCACGGTCCCTGGCACCCCCTGCTGAAAAGAAAAAACAGTCCAACGGGATCCCTGTGATTACAAGGGGCACACACACACACACACACGCCTCCCCGAGCAAGCCGTCAAGCTAAGGTGAGGGCAAATGTGCACGTGTGCGCGCGCAAGAGACAAAAGAATGAAGACATGACAGGAGGACGAGACGGGACAAAGGTGTGCGCGGTGGAAATGCAAAGGGAACCAAGTGCACAGGGACACCCGATGAAGCCCACCTCATTGTCCAGACCTGGGCGACCTGAAACCTGTGTGAAAATGTAGGTAGAAGTGCACGTACACACTAAGGTCGGGACCAATGTGCGCGCAAACGAAGAAAAGGATGAGATGACCAGACATGAAGACAGGAGGACATGAAAGAAAAGAGGAAAGGGATGAAAGGGGAACCAAATGGAGGGGACGAAAACCGATGAGACCAAACCTCATTGCAACGACCTGGGTGACCTGCCTCGTTTCAATGTACACGCTGTGTGTGCACCCACGGTCGCGACAGGTTCCAATGAACCTCAAAAGTACTCCGGTCGCTCTGACCACGTTGAGGCGTTAAGCCAGCTTGGACCGCTGCGGTCACGTACAGGCATGAGCCAACTTGGACTTCCAAAAATGAGACAAACATCCCACTTCTTGTGGCGTAAGCCATCTGCTGTCCGCTCCGGACACTTACATCTCCGGGCAGGGGAGATAACGACAAACCCCCGTTCGACGGGTCCACGGGAGGCACTCTGCGGGCTCATCCCGGGTTGGCACGAAGCCAAACACACTTATGGAAATGCGTACGGAACTGATAGCGGTGCCACACGCCGGCCTAGGGTTCCAGTTCCTAAGGGCACAGGGAAGGAAACCTAAAACTCCAAACGAAAACACCGAGCGAGCGGACGACAAGGTGACGACGTGCGTGCAGAAAAGCCAAATTCATCGCCGCTGCAGTAGCCCTTTACTGAAGGAAACAACGAAGTAGACAGCTTGTGCTCTACGTAGGTTTCTCTCCCGGCAGGTACGTCAATCTGGCGTCCTGGATTGATTTCACAGACCAGTGCAAGCGTCTTTGTTAGTGCCAGACTTGCACGGTCCCTGGCACCCCCTGCTGAAAAGAAAAAACAGTCCAACGGGATCCCTGTGATTACAAGGGGCACACACACACCACAAAACCAAGACAATAACTCTATCAAGGACAAATACCACGAACGGGTAAGCCGGAAACAAAACCAAGAGAAAATATTCTCGAAAGAAAGGCAGTTGCCACTGAAACGGTAGGATGTCAACAATCCAACAAACAATGCTCAACACAAATCCAAGTTCATGAACGAACCGATCGAACCCACGACGATATCATACGCGTCTTTCATGGCGCAGCGCGGACTAGCTCAAGGCCTGTCATTGGGCCATACGGCCATGGGGGCACAAGGTCAAGTCAACCTTCTCGTGAACATGAGACTCTTCCACTTCATCAGCCCCTCTATCTTTCATTGGCTTGACCTTATGGTCTTCATTCGATGCCAACGCTGATTGCCTTCAGCGAGCACGGCATCTTCTGCCTGGATCTGGAAATGGTTGGTTCTCAACAGATCCATCATCGGCTTCTCATGGGCTTGGAACAGCTTCGTCAAAGAATCCGAAGGATTGCAGTTGTGCGGAATCCAACGAACACGTCCTTTCAAGCGTGACAAACTGTCACGGATAATCGCTGTTTCCAGCGCCGTGCGGTCATCTGACCCTTGGCTTTGCTCGGTGGTGCTGGCGTCAAAGATGCTCTTGGCATCAACCACAGCTAACGAAAGGGGGTCCGAAAACAGTGGGTCTTCTGATGCCAGAACTGTTGCTGCGCCTTGCAAACCTCCAGCGTCGTCTTCCTCAGCTTGCTGGCGCGCATCAAACCTAGAAAAACAAATGGATCGCCACGTACTCACTTGCTTCTCCAAAGCTCCCAGCGCCGTGCTAAGCGACACAGATTCGCACAGCATCGTTGAACCAGCTTTCCGCCGAAGTCGGCGGCTTTTCCAACCGATCAAAGTGATCGGAGCCAGCTTCCCAGCGTTCATCGCTGGAGTGGTGACTCCTTGGATCCAGCCGTGTTGTGGCTTCACGCGACCGGTCTGGTCAAAGGCAGCATCTGAAATCACGATGTGCCTGATCTGTTCTTCGGGGATGTTATGCACTTTCAACGTGATGTGCTGTCCTTTCAACTTTGCAGCCACACGGTTGGTGTCCATGGCATCTTTGACCGTGGGGTTGGGAAAACATCCACTCAAAATGCTTGCTGCTGCAGCTCCATCTGGACGTCCTTCTCTCGACACCCAATTGATCGAGGCAATGGTGCCCCGAAGCTGACTCTCCTCATCGGGTGTCAAGAAGGTTGTTGAGGCCGCTTTGATGGTGCAGGGTGCATGAGTCACAGGCTTCAACCGGCTAGCAACATAGTCATTCATGGTGCCAACATACCCTGTACCATTCTTTTCGGCCTGGAGCTCAACTGCTTTGCCAAAACGAAGGGTGTTCTCAAGCCAGGCCATGCGACGGAGGTGCTCTGAGTCTCCTGCTTCCAATGATTCCTCTGGTGGGAGCATTTGGAGCAGTGCTTTCGGAGTCCAATGTCAACACGCACCGGTCATACGGGCTGATGCGGTACTTGCCTCCTTTCATAAGCACTTCCAGAAGGCTTCGTCGCCACCATGCAGGACCTGAGACAAGGCCGTACACTTCGGTTTCTAGCAAAATGAGCTGTCGTGGATCAAGGCCAGGAAAAAAGCCGTCAGAGGGCATAGTGCAAGCCAACTTGTTCTTTCGGGTCGTCGGCTTCGACTGTAAGAACGCGGTTTTGGCGTCCTTCACCCGAGCAGACCATTTGCGACTTGCTGCAAGCTGCATGAAGAGGTACAGGCTTGATGTGAGTGGAGTTGGAGCAGCGCGTTTTCCTTTCCTTTTCCTTTCAGCTTGCATTCATTTCCTTTCTTGTTTCCTTCAAAAGGTGATATGCTCAAACCGGTCCTCACGTGTTGCTGAAACATGAAGAGGCGCATTCTAAAAGGTTTTCTGCGCATTCTAACATTGAATGTTAGAATGTAGGGTTTGCTAGTCCGGAAAGTGGGGTCATTCGGCATCGGCCGTTTCCAAAAGCACATTCTATCTTCCAGTCCGTCGGTATAGTGAGCAAGAATTCTGTGTGGGTTTCGGTGTGCATGAACACAGTACGATATAGTTGCTGCGTTACCAGAGTAGAGCGCTCAAGACCTGAAACCTTCGAAATGGCCCTGTGAGGAAGTCCTTTCCAAGTTTCACGACCGAACCATCCGAACCATGACTGTCTTCGCTGGGCAGTGATCTGTAACGCAAAACTGTATGGAGCGAATACGACAAGACCGGGTGTAAGGTACACGCGCATCTAAGTACCTGGGTTAAGTTAAGTCTTTTGAGAA